ATATTTTTTGGAGCCAAATTTAAAAAATTTTGCATGTTCACGAAAATAAAAATAATGATGATGTGATCACTTCCGATATTGGTGTTGCAAGTGCATTTAAAAAATATTTTTCTAGTATACTTTTGATGATAATATTAATAACACATTTTTAAATGAAAATCGAAGTTTGTACAGTTCCCTCGATTTGAAATTACTCAATGAAATTATAATTCTAGGCGTCCATGACGCACTCAAACTTAAATAAACTCAAACCATCCATTTCAGCTTGTCCAGCTAATATTGCACAAATCTTTTATAAAAAATGTGCAGTTTTCCATCTTCCTCTTTTAATTTGCAAGATATTATGAGTAATGGCCTCCAAGAATTTCGAAATTTTTCGATATAATTCCCATTCATGAAAAAGAAAATACCTGTGACCCTCATAATTCAATTACAAGCCTATTAGCTTAACATGCGTCAGTAGAGATTATTGAACAAACTGATTTGCAACAAGACAATTTTTTTAAAGATAAGATGAACCTGAACGAAGATAATATCACATCCTATCAAAAATTTAATAATGAGATATCAACCAAAGCTTATGCCATTTATTAATTCATAATCAAGCTATTATGGAAGTCTAAATTTGGATTTGTTGTGAGTCAAATTACAAATTATATCATATTATGTTAGCAATATGCCTTTTCAGTACCATACGATTTACCCAGCATGTGTCAATAATCGTTTGTTATTGAACAATCAAAATGAACATTATTACCGAAATGTTGCGAAATAGATTTCACTTCATCGAATATCACATCGTATTTTTTGCAACAAATTGCTTAGCTACCTTAGTGCCAACAATTTAAGATGCTCTCCTCTTTTGCTCGAAAAAATCCATTTCCTCACAAATATTGGCAAATCTTTCTGATAGGTCACCATCAGTTGATAATGGAAAAAAATATCACATATCTACCTAAATTTGGCCAAGGCATTTGATATCGTTTCTCACAGTAAGTTGTTTGTCGTTATGGCATTGCAGGCGGATTGTACAACTGAATATCAGATTACTTAAAATAGCGATACGATTCCAAGCTGTACGTATCAATGATTCTTTTTCAGATTTGGCTTTAGTCAAATCAAGCGTCCCTCAAGGTATTTTATCGCATCATTGCATTTTTTATTATGTATTAATGACATCACCAAAGTTGTACTAAATTTTACCATCTGTCTTTATGATCTGATATGCGAATGACTGTAAAATTTATTATTCTCATGGTAGATCGAATAACCTGCTTTCCACTACAAGATCCAAATAAAATTGCCAACTGGTTATATGGTAAGCAAGTTATCCGTTATCCTTTCCATTCAAAAGTGTAGCATATTGCATATAAATTCTATAGGATCCAATCTCCTTAATTTATTAATGGCAATATAATTAGGTGAGTTTTGATTTCAGATCTTGGCATCGCCGTAAATGAAAGTCTTGATTACAACCTTTAGTGAAGAACCATAGTAAATAAGTCCTCAATAATACTAAATTTTTGTTTTCGCTCGTTTAAAACATTGCCAAAATATACAAATTGTTCGTTCGGCCTATAGTACAATGCGACATATTGTACCTCTAAATACCGCAAATTCAGTAAATTAATCGAACGACTCCAAAAAAATTATTTATTATTTAAATTATTTATTTGAACGACAAATATTATAATTTTAGGTTAAATTTCAACCAACAAGAGCTAATGGACTAAAATTATTAAAACCTAAATGCAAAACTAAACTAAGGGTGTATGACTTCTCCATTCACACCATTAATTAACGGAATAAGCTACCTAACGATGTGCCTCTCTCTTAGCCATTCCTAAAAAAAGATGAAATAATATCATCTATGATATTATTTAAAAGATTCGAATTATGAAGGCAATTGAAATCTTTATCTTTTATCATTCAATAATACATTCAGTCCGCCTCGAGTTATTCTATAATTCTGCTTTATCTATATCTTATATCTCTATCATCAATTTTTTTTCATTTGGCACCTTATTTTATTGTTATTAATACAAGGAGCTTGTCGCCTTACTTCAAATAAATAAATAAACATATGCCAATTCCTGTGGTGGGCAACGAAGAGCGTGCGAAAGCGGCAGTCTATGATGGTATTGTTAATGCAGATGGTTAATTTGAGCGAAGATGGATGTGACAACTGATTATGAATTGATAAAAATTGAGAAGAATTGATTGATATGATAAAATTGAAAATGAAGAAAAAAATTGATATGATGAAAATTGAATTAATATAGATATTTTACCAGCTTCTTATGTATAAGGCGAAAGAGTTTCATTTAGATTGACCCTGAACCGATTCTCGCTGTATTTATCTGTCATTTTGTTTAGCACTTTCATTTGCATTTCGTAATAACCGTCAGCAAAAAAGACTATCTCACCAGCATATTTAAGATCTATGTGATATGATGCTCTGGACTGATGTATAGATTTCTTGAATGCAGTTAAGCGATGTCCATTATCCAATCTATCGCATAATTGAATATTGTAGAGGAAAGAATGAAGTCTTGAACCAGCTCTTATTTCGAATCTACCAGTTTTACACAGACCTGTGCCGATGTATACAGGTATAATGCTTTTGAGAGTCGAATGATCTCCTCTGGAACACTGCCACATTCCACCACTCTCAGTGCTACTCTATCAACTGAATCGAAGACAGCTGCAAAATCGATAAAATATGTGATGATGAGTTGCTGATATTTCAACATTCTTCTTAGCATGAATATCTGGTCAGAACCTCGCTTGATCCGAATCCAGCTTGATTAGAGGGTATGTTACCACCGTATATCTTGTCATCCTTCTGGAGAAATTTGAAAATTGGGAGTTTTATTGGCCTTCTGGATGATGGAGATTACGACTTCAAAAAAATTATTTATTATATTCGAACGACAAATATTATCATTTTAGGTTAAATTTCAACCAACAAGAGCTAATGGATTAAAATTATTAAAACTTAAATGCAAAACTAAACTAAGGGTGTATGACTTTTCCATTCACACCATTAATTAACGGAATAAGCTACTTGCTTATTCAGTTCCTGTTCTGCTGGTGGCTAGCATTTGCAAACATAAGGCTCGACGGACGACTTATCCGAGACAACGGAAGCAATTCTTAATAACCTTCACTATGCACGCCATTACTATCCCGCATCATTTCAATGGGCCTTCTCTGCGCTGTACTTGCTTTATGAAGACGAAATAGTTATAGTTACATGTTGATCTTTACATATTGACTAATTGAAAACGGTAAGCTATTACGAAAACATATCATGAATTAATTAAGAATTAAATTATAAAAATAAATTTGCAACTCGAAAGATTAAAAATTTATAATCAAAGTTAAAAACTAAAAATATGAAATAGCTTTATATTTTCGATAGATTTGGAATAAAAATTGTACGAAAATAATAAAGATTCTTCTTATAATTTTTATTAATTGTAATTAAAAGAAAGGTTAGCTTAGTGTCACTCAAATTGTTGTCCTAAAAATCAATGCTGCTCTGTCTACTAGAAAAATTCAGGTAAAAATGATGACTCGCATAGTGAAAATAAATCTGGCGGCATTTATCGCCCATGTGACTCCCTAATAAAAATTTCTACGGTAACTATTCTATAGCTAACGAAACTACCAGGATTGATTAGCATTTGCCAACTTTATTCTATTAAAGAAAGAAAAATCACTGCCAAAAAAATTATTAATGAATTTGGTTAATTTTCAAAATTCCTCTCTAAATTTAAAAAAATCATACGACAGTTTTTTGAGAATCAAACAATAAAATTTACAAATTTTTGTTAAGAAATACGCGAGAATTAAAATTTTTGAATTTTACTTTTTTTAAGGCCCTTTTTTTAAGGAATAAATAATATATTGTAGCGATGGCGTCTTTGAATTATTTTGCAAAATTATAAAATAAAAAATTGCATAAATGAAATAAAAATTTGTAGAAATTTATTATGAACATTCAGCATATGTATAGTGCAATAATTATTATCGTATATTGTGCGAAATGAAAATAAAACTATTCGATATTGATAAATAATGCTACAGCAACATATACTGAACAAAATTGGAGGGCAACGCAACCACGATGAATGGAACGGAAAATAAAGAATGGCCTCACTAAATCAAGTTCAAATTGAAATCTCGGAAAATTCTCAGCCAGAAGGCACCAACACTCGAGGTTCTAAAAAGACAAGTTTTGGCAGAAGACGTGAATTGCAACAAAAATGCATGAAAAATGAGAATTTAAAAGAAGAAATATCGGTGACTCTCACTCATATCAAATTTTCCAATAAATAATAAATAATTATTGGAAATTGAAAATTTATTAAAAAAATTAAGAATATCTGATATTTTCCATTAAAATTATTAAATTATTCCATTTATTCCATGTTTCTTTGAATGAATACTTTAGAATACAAATTCATGCTTGAAAAAAGCAAAAAATTTTTAAAATGTTATAAAATATAGAAAATTGCTTGTTAATCGCTTATTTATTATGGATTTATTATTGACGAAAAAAATTGAAATTTTTTATTTCAGTAAAGTTTAGTTCAAGAAAATTATGAAAAAATTAAAATATAATTTAAAATTTATTGTACAAAAAAATTCATTATGAATATCGTCAAAATTTTTTATGAAACTAATCATATTTATCGAGTGGTATGGCTAATTTTCAAGCTTCAAGGCTTGGCTCTTAGTTCTTAGAGTAGTCATCAAAAATCTGAGGCCTCATCTTTATTTGTCCACTAATAACTTTCCGATCGAATTCATTTATCCTATTAATAGCCAGCGAGCCCAATCAGAAACAGTGAATTTACCATTTAGACACTTATTTACCATTATTAAATGTTAAAGGTTTTTATATTAAGAATTATTAAATAACGTTTTCTTCACAATTATTATATCATAATTTTTTTGATCAAACTTGTTGATAAGTCGCTATGCTTAAGCTCTCAGTGAGATTCAGTTCGATTCATCGATTCACCACGACTTTCATTGTGTTGTCTTGATTCTGTATTGTTAGAGTCTCTGATAATGCTGTCAACACTTGATGATCTCGCGACAGAATGCTTGTTTATATTCAGCGATAAGGAATAAATCATCAATGCCGAATGGGGTCTTTCTCCATCATGATCGTCATAATCATTAATTGATCTCTCATAATTATTAGGTTTTATGTTTCTTATCGACAGTCGATTCATTCTTTTGTTCTCGCTGTTTAGTGCTTGCTGAATTATATAACTAATTATATTTTTATATTTTTCACCGAAGTCTACCATCTAAAGTTATTGGAATATGGACAGTGGAGGAATACACACTTCTTTCCTCAAGTACCCTTAATTTTTCGGCGAACTGGTCAGTAGATCCAAACAAAAATGGTGAATCCAATCCTTCTAGATGAAGAAGAACTGGAAGGTGGAGCAAACAAATATCAGTTATAAAAAAATATTAAAAAATATTTAAACAAAGTTATTTTTTTAGAAATTAGTCGACAGTTTTGTAAAATAACTGAACCTCAAGAAATCCCATTTTCATGTTTCGAATTATGAATTGTATAAATTTGAGCCATAAACGTTCATTAAACAATGGTTCATTCGCCCAAAGCAGAGAAGTAACTAAAGTGAAATGCTTGAGAACCAGTGAATTCAATTCTTTAATTATATCGTTTTGTCCATTAGACCCTAGAAGAAAATGGGTTTTTTTTGAATAATTTTCCAAATAATATTCGTTTCTATAAAATTTTATGAATCAGCAATTTTTAAGTAAATTAAACCTTTTTTAGTCATGTCGAGAGAAATTGCATCCATGAAACATCGCTTCACCAATAACCAATTAGAAGCGTTGAAATATACTCGATGTCTATAATGGAACAAGCCATTTTCCTTACACATTTTAGCAATTCGAACTTCACTGTCGATTTTATCCCCTTCAGCATTCAGTAAATTTATGACCTGAAACATTAATATTAAGGGACCATTATTCTCACCATCATTTGAAAGGATGATTAATGTCATTATGATGCTAAACAGTATAAGATTTCTGTTAATTTTTAAGCGATGAATGATGGCGTTCGATGAAGTCAAATTTATACTTAAAAATATTTCATTAGATTGTAGAATTTATACTTAAAAATATTTTATTAGATTGATATTTCATTAGATTGAAAGTACTTCATTGAAGAATTTTAAAACTCCATTCGCGAATCGCAACATTTTGGGATTCTTTTGGACCATTTCCACGGTACATTCTTGATCATCCTTGATTGCTACTTCATTCAAAAGGCTTAGATATTGACTACGATTGCGATTCACCACAAGCATAACGAACCTCATTCCCATATGGACTCCTTTCTTATTTTTCTGAAGCCTTAAAATAGATTTAGAAATACTTCCAACTTTATTATTTTCTTTAAATTTAATTTTTTGTGTTTAACAGGAGTAAACTTGTCATTATATCAAGAATCCGGGTGACTGCTGGGGACCCACCTATATTTCTATCCCAAGTGATTCTTTGGTAAAATCGTCTCTCTGACGCGACGTCCGCATCTTCTGACGCACATGCTACTTCTGACTCGGTGGTATATGCGATAAATATACGATCAGGGCATAATAATAATGACAGATACAAACATAGTATTTGCCAACCGAGATAAGTATACTCAAAACCCCTCAAGGGAGGCAAGAACTTATCCACTTTGTAAGCGCGGCGAGGCTGGTGTTGCTTAGAATATCAGAACGCTTATGGATGTTGCAAGCCAAGCGATTACACACCAAGTGTAAATACCGCGTGGATGTGGCTTGTTTGTCGGAGGTCCGCCTTCCTCATGTCGGCTCTCGAGTAATTATTAAACCTAGTTGCGAGTAAAGATATTGGCCATATCACTGTGGTGTCTTGGATAATTCTAGGCGAAGTGGCGTAGCGATTGTCATATATGAAAAGGTTCGATCCGCTCTGATGGACTGAAACCAGTAAATGACTGTATGGCCTATGCGCGTTTCAAGGGAAAGTTTTGCAATATTTCTGTCATTAGCGTATGTGCTCCAACTTTATGTGCAAATGACCTCGATAAGGAGCATCAATTATTAACAACAATCCCGAGAGATGATATGGTCATAATCGAGGAGACTGGAATGCGTGCGAAGGTCATAATGCCGTATTGATGAATTCGGTAATTGGCAAATATGGTATCGGAGTCCAATGCGCCAATGAAGAACGCCTTCTTTGTCGAAAATCATGAACTTTTTGTTATTATATATTATTATATATTAATATATGCTTTCAGCATCAAATAAAACATTTAGTCACTTCGAATTCTCCGAACAACCAATATTTCAATCAGATTAACTATATTGTCAAAACGCTGAAATTGATAACCGACATGGATCAGATCATATTATGGTTCAAGCCAAGATTCGCATAAAACTGACAAGTAGTAAGAAACAATATATCCCAAGATCTTTCAACTATCTCAAATTAAAAGATGCGGAGATGCGGCAACGATAAGCGCATTTCAAACCGTGCTATTGAAACACCTCAATGAAATGAATATCAATGAGATTTCTTAGGAACGGCGAATGAATACTGGTCCCAACTAAGGAATGTTTACAAAAGTCAGCTACATTCACATTAGGGTATAATAGTAGGAAGTGCGCTAGTTTGGTGTCGGACTGTCCAACTGTCTGAAAAGGCTGCCAAAGCCCGAATATCAGGAGATCCTGACTATCGACTTCGAAGAATTAACGAAAGCAGCACGGTGAGAAATCAGAAATCGGAGCGATATAGCCTTAAGAATGACGGCTGAGCTAGGTGATAATAGGAAACTGTTTCGCCTTCTTCGCAAAGCAACTATAAATCGAGAACAAGTTAGTGAAATGATACAGGATATTAATGGAGTGCCTATTAAAGCTGTTAAGGATCGTCTCTAGCATCTGTTAAGAAGATGGAAAGAACTTCTATTTTTTGAGGCCAAACTTAACCACGAATATAAGTGGTTTGCCCGTCTAGCCTTATGTTTGCAACTGTGAGCCGCCAACAGAAGAGGAAATAATCTCTGTAATCCATAAGCTTGAGGTCATAAATATATTCTCTGGTATGGAAAAAAGAAATAATACCAGAAGACTGGAGCAAAGCAGTTCTGTTTCCAATTCCTAAGAAAGGTGATAGGACGTATACTGCGACAATTGCCGAGGAATCAGCCTACTGGACATCTTTGAAAAAATTTTTGCTTCCCTTTTGTTAAATAGGCTCATGGCAACAAGAGATAGCAGAATGCGTCCTAAGCAAGCTGGATTCAGAACGTGGTTGAACTGATCATATATTTATAAGAAAGGTGCTGGAATGTCGCTGCAAATACTAGCAACCTACCATCACTTGCTTGCTTTATCGATTTTACAGCTACCTTCGATTCGATTGATAAAATAGCTCTCTGAAAAGTGATGGAATGTGACGGTGCCCCAGAGAAGATCATTCGGCTCATAAAGGCATTTTATCACCTTATCCTGATGCAAGTTGCGTATATGGAAAACAGACAGACTCCTTCGAAATAAAAATTGGTGTCCCATCAGATCTGCATCCTTCCCACAATATTCAACTATGCGATAAACTCGATAATGGGCATCGCTTGTCGGCACTCAAGAGATATGCGAATCAGTCCACAGCATATCACCACAGACCTTGAATACGCTGATGATGTGTTTCTTTTTGCTGAAAGTTATGAAGAAATGCAAATAATGTTAAACAATGTGTCAACAACTGCAGCGAAAATTGGACTCAGAATCAATGTAAATAAATCGAAAATGTTTTCTTATATACAAGGTAATGATAAAATATCTATTTTTATCAATTCATTGCCGGTTGAGGAAATGCTGGACTTTAAATATCTTGGATCCACTCTAATCCCAAATGGCCAGGCGAAGGCTAAAATTATAGCCCATAATGACAGCTAGAAATATGTTTTTCCGGCTGATGAAACCTTTATGGAACCATTGCAAAATCACCATAAAGACGAAAATTCGCGTCCATATAGCTACAATTCGTTCGATTTTGCTATATAGCTGCAAAACATAGCCAATGAGAGTGGAAAATATTATCAACCTTTGACCACTCATGTGTAAAATACATTTTACAGATAAGAGCAAATAAAATCATACATGACAATATCCATCTTCGCTCAAATATCCACCTGCATTAATAATATTATCACAGAGCGTCTCCTTTGCTGGTTAGGATAAGTTCTTCGTCGTCCGCCAGAGGAGTTGACGCATATTTCGTTATTTGCTAAACGCTGATGGTTGGCGTAAGTGAAGAGGGCCAGTCAAGACCTACACTGATACAATCAGGAAAGATTTTGAACGTATAGGAGGACCAGCGATATATGGACTTAGACGATGGAAAAAAGAATGGCTTCCATTACTACTAGCGATGGCGTCCATTACTACTAGCGATGACCGAGCAGATATCTTATCCTTGCAACCAGCGGAGCTAGTCTAACTAGTAATGGTGAAAGCTGCTAGAAGAAGAAGAATACTTCCAATAACCAAATTTTTAGTTTAAAACTAAAATTTTAAAAAATTCCTAAGAGTTTCATTTCACATATTCCTTCAAAAATTAGTAAATAAAAAATACTTAGAACATTAACAATGACATCTGAGTTAAAATTGGTAAAAATTTACAGATTCCAATATCGATATAATGATTTGATCTCATTGGCTGTGAAAGCTTTGTCATCTGAGGTCATTGACTCTTCTTGATTTAGCATTAACGCTCGTTCACTTCATAAACTGAATAAATAATCTTCGATACATTAATTAATGGACCAACGAGGCGATAAACTGAAATTTTTCTCTTTCACGCCGTTTTATTTTCACAAATTTCATATTTATATTTATATTTAATATTAAGTTATTATCAAATTAAAATTATCATTATTCATTATTATTTCTATCCATAAGAAATTTATTTGGTGGAAACTGATAAATCGAATTATCGCCAACGGATATTGAAAATGAATATTTATGCGAGTTTAAAGGCAAAACGGACGATAAAAGTCATTCATTTATTTAGCTGTCTAAAAACTCGCTTCTAAAAAATGTGCAAAAAATCGTAAATCTGCTGTGTGAAGTATGCAATAAATGGAAGGGTTAAGTCGACGAAGAGGAGAACTGGCGAATTTATGCTAATGAATATCGAATAACGATTAAAAATATAACAAACGTAATCTAATTAGATTCATTTATAGATGCTTCTTTTTAATAATATTTATTTAATATTCATTTTACCAGTTGAAAAAGAAATAAAATGAATATTTCGACGATTCGAAATTTATTTCGTTGTAGCCAAAGGCTGCATTGTCGGGATGATTGCCTAAATGGTTCTTACTGTATCAAATAACTCGTTCGTCAAATCTCCGAACCGCTTCCTGGTGCGACTGCTTTTAGCAGACAAAATGCAAGAGATTTTCCAATAGGACCATCTGTGAGTAGAGATAAACGAGCACAGGTGCGGCATCAGAAACGATTTTATCTATCACATGGAAAACAGTTCATCTCTAAAAAATAATAGGAAAATGTAAATAGACGGGAAATGCATTTATACAAAAAAATATTCGCTATTTCCATAGGGTAGCAATGATTTTCGTTTCCGAACTATTGTGCTTCAATTCTTAAAGTTCTATGGTCATTGCCGATAATTTTTTTTTCTTGAATAAACTAATAGGTCTTCGCCAATTTTTTCTGCAATTCAACAACAACCTGTAATCTGCAATTCAACAACTCTTCCTTTTCAGCTAACAGTCCTGGTTTCGCTGGTTCCACTGACTATGGTGAGAATGTTCAACAGAGAATCACTTGGAGAAAGAAATGCAAATGGATTTTTAACATTTGGATTTCAATTGAAATTTAATGGCGTGCATTAAAGACTAGAGAAAAAGCTATAATTCCGGAGCTAGTCAAAGCAGCATGTTTACTCGACCATCCCTAATTAATAATTAAATTAAATAGGCTTGATGAATATTAAAAATGAATTAAGATAATGTGATATGTGATATAACTCATTACTTTCGGTATTATTTAAAGAAGTGTGCTTTCCTTCCAGCATGTTAACCATTTATCAATCTTTTAAACCAAATTAATTTCAGAATTTCAGAAATTCCGACAATTTTTTTTAAATCGCAAGCACCGTGCAACGATAGTTGGCAAAAATATTTTATTCTTCTTTCATTGCAGCTGTTGAAGAATTATTCGAATGTGAACCTCCATATTCGCAATAAGTTAATTAATCTCCAATGTATTTAAATCTGCAGAAAACCAAAAACGACCGAAAATAAATTTTTTTATGTGATTAGTAATTTTTCTGCAGTTTTCAATTATAAATGTGGATTTACTAACTTATTGAGGTTTGCGCCATCTTTCTTGAACATCGCTGAATTTTCTGGAAATCGTGGAAGAGACTCCTTTATTTTCGGATCTTAAATCCCATACACTCCAATTTTCCCAGATACGGTCATAAAATATTCACAGCTACCATTTCTCGAAGAATTGAAAGTAGAGAGCAGAAAATTCAAAGAGATATGTCTACGAAGCTAACTTAAACTGCTTTTTAATTCATTTTAATAATTGTAATAGCCACAAAATTCTTGCTTATCGTTCGACATTTTTCGAATTCTTTTGCGTCACAGAGGCACTTTAAACTTTACTGGTTCCCTCGAATTATCGCACGCAAACAGCTGCGCTATTTCATTAAACATAAGTTTTAATTGTAAATGGTATCATGGAAAGGATAAAGTTAAAACATAAGTTCGATTCTTATTGCTTGATGAGAGTAAATCAGTCACCAAAGGAGAATCCCATTCCCAGGTGATATCCTAATAACCATTTCAGCCAGCCAAACCAAAAACGAAGAACAGTCGTATCGATTTCTTATAAAATTTATATATAATTTTTATGGGCATTTTTTAAAAAAATAAATTGGCAAACTTAAATCAAAATTAAAACTTTGAGCAAGGAATAAAGCAAAAGTGCTCATCATGCTGCCGATCTCGAAGTAATTTGCTTGAACATTCATTCGTATGGTAATTCCCCGAATTGATCCGCAGAACACATCTTTCTTGCTTTCTTTTTTCGTTTCTTATATTCATATAATAATTTTTTAATTTTTTCAGAATTTTTAAATGTAAATTTTATATTGTTTATTTATATGATTGTGCATAAATAAACATTTGAACAAATCAAGTGCAACATTACCACAGTGCAATTAACAAAGTGTTCCATGGCAAAAAAACTTTGGGAAAATCGTTAATTCATATTTCTATTCATTCCTACTATTATTTAATTATTTAAATAAAAATACTAAAAAACTAGGGACAGTGCATTCAAGCAGCAATTGCTCAGATTATTTTGAAAATCAAAATCCGTACCTTACGTCCGCAAGAGCAAACTTGACTTTAAATAATCGAGGTGAGTGCAGCTGCACTTCTATTGCCAAGTGACCCTCTACTAAAATTTTTCATTAAACTAACAGCCAAACCCTAACCAGAAATAATGAAGCAAGCTACTCACAGTATTAACATTGTTAGGACCAACCAATATTATTTTTAAATTAAACAGAATATGAGAAAATTTGTGAAAAAAATTTCATGAATTAAGGGAAGCCTATGTGGGAAATCTATTAGCATATTCGTTTATAATATCGAAAATGTAGAAAAAAGGGAATATTATTTTTTGAAAAAATTTTGAAATTGGAAGGGTAGGTTCATTATAGAATGCATAGGAAATAATTTATTGATTTTAGAGATATGAATAAATGAAATGAATTATAAAATAATCTAACGTTTTATTTAATAATTCATAAAATGATACAATGATTATTCATGAACAGTGATTTAGGAAAAAAAAAGAGGAGAAAATGAAGAAAATTGAGGTGATTTGAAGAAAATAGGAAAATGCCTTTATTTTTAGCGCTAATCTCCTTTGATTTTTCTTTTTTTATTTTATATTGGTTCCTGATCTTTTATTTGATTTCTTTTGCCTTTTTTTATAACTTTTTCACTTTTGAATATTCTATTGTTTCTATGATACGTTTGATTGGTACAAAAAATATCCCCTAATCCTTGAACTGCTTGAATATTTATATTGCAGTTGCAAAGAATCGTGTTCAAAGAATAAAAATTAGAGACAGCGCTATTAATTATAACGGAAACCTATAAGTGGTTTCTTCTTGGATGTATAACATTTTCATTTGGAACAATATATCAAAATAAATCCAATAATTTCATTAATTAAAAGATCCTCGCCGATTCTTTCTTTTGTTAAAAGCGAGTTCGATTGGATCCGACCATTCATCTGTTTCGCCATATTCATAAAAATCTTATTCTTCTAACACCCGTTTTCATTTAAATTAGAAATCTAAAAAAAATAATTTTAATTATATTTAGACTTAAAACTTATATTTAGTCTCTTTTTTAAAGAAACAAAATTAAAGAAACTGCAGTGAAATTATTCCATTATATGTGATTTGTAAATAAAATCCTTTGATGGGAGAAAATTTGGGAAATTTAAAATGCTCACAGCTTCGAGTTCATTTGCTACCATAAAATTGACCAGTAAAACAGCGTAAAGAAGTTTAGTAGCACTTCTTAAAATCCGTTTTGCAGACAAATAATAGAGGCAATATGACAGTTGGAGATTTTATGGCTAACACTGAGCTTTTTTTAATCTACGTCGTAAGAAAAAATTTTTCAGAAAGTAAATCGATAATAAGGAGCAGAATGATAGAATAGTGTACTTTTCCAAGCAAAGTCAAGCATCAAGCATCATGATTTTTTAAACCTATCACTGATGATGAAAATACCAGAAATTCTGGGAGCATAAATTAAAACGAGATAATCAAACAGTTTCCAAACTGAAGATCAACAACAGAACTTTATCATTCTCGAAATTTTAAAAAATTCAGAAAACAGTTTTTTCTTATAAATAATTTTTTATTTATTAAGAATTTTGAAAAATATACCTTTTGTTTCTGTCGAAATCATCTCGGATTCACCATCGATAGACCAAAAAAATCTTACTTAATGGATAAGAAAATCCAAATATCTGCGAGCAGAATTAAATATAAAACCAATTCAACGAAGAAAACGACAACTAGAATTCGTATTAACAAAATGGCTCGAATTAGGCTAAAACCATTTTCTAGCAATATTAGTAAAATTCTAAACAGGTAATTACAATTTAAAAAATCTTAAAAAATAAAAATTTATGAGAAATGAGAAAACTCGGTTTCCTAAATTTTTTGACAACGTAATTCCAGATTCCTTAATCCTTTTATGAATCTTTTGAAATCTGTGAATTGTTCTGCAAATCTAGCAGAATCATAAAAGCCTGGTAAAAGCCATGGATTACTTTGAAAGTTTAGTAAAACACAAGGGATTTCTTGAGAGATCGGCTAAATTGAAAGAGCAAATGATGGAAAGGACGACCACTTTTTTTAATTCATATTTTACCAATTTCTCTCTACTTTTCTCACCTCGAAACCTTTTTCTTATACAGCTCTCACCATTAGTGTTTAGGTTATCTGGCTATAAGGATAAGATCATGCCATTGATACGATGTCACCACTAAAAGTAATAGAAACCATCCTTTTTCTATCGTTATATCCCTGGTCCAACCGTTCAAAATCTTTTCTGTCAATCCAGTCTTGACTGGTCTCCCTCGATTTTGATGCCACCCATCACAGGGGTTAGCAAGTAATGAAATGTGTGTCACTTCCTGTGGGCGACGCTGGATTTTGAAAACGCAAAACCTTTAATTTTTCACCTCTCAAATCCTTTTAAAGTGTCTTACGATCTCAAATCAGAGTAATCAAATAATCAGCCTACTGCAAAATTAAGAAAGTGGAATTGCATAGTAAAAATATAAATTTGAATTTAAAGGTAAACAAATTATATAAATATTAATTAATTATACATATAAATTTGAAGATAAACACATTTTAAGAGAAATAAAATGCTTAAATTTTTTACTTTCATTTAAATTTTAAATTATCTTAAATCGAATAATGGAAAATTTGAAAATAAAAAATTTATAGATTGAAATTTAAAAAAAACATTAAAATAAACAACAAATGATTTCCGAGGAAATTGATTTTATATTAATTTTATATATCATAAAGTACAACATTCATACACCAGTTCTCACCAGGTATCACCAAAATGACTGTGGAAACAAGAATCTCACCTCCAACTCTATTTTTCCTTCGATTAAGTGCTTTACCATAATCAACACTTATCACCTAAATTGACTAGCAAAATTCATAAGGAAATTTCGAAAGCCTTTCAAAATAAACTTTCGCACAAATCCACAAGTACTTTTATCGCCATAAGACTGCAATAATATTTCTTGAGCCCCACAAGATAGAGAAGATAGCCTAATCAAAAGTGGTAAGCGCTCTTTGAAAAATTAGAAAAAAAATTAGAATTTCTATCATCTCGCTTCCTCATTTCTATAAAAATATATATAACAGAGATATGTATACATGAAATCTGAAATCAACGAAAAGTTTTTTATTCAATGAAAAAAATTTTTTTGAAATTATAACAAATGTCAAACATAAAAATTAAACCTTATTTTCGATCTGCTCTCTAACAAAATCTTTTTTCTTCCTTTGAATCATTTAACAATCTTGATGCATAAGCGGAATAACCCAGTGATGGACTCACATAAATTACATAAGAACCAATGAATCTAAACCCGATAAAACAAAGGATATCATTGAAATGATGAAGCATCAAGCATAGAAGCTAAATTTTGAACGATATTATCTGCCAACATTTCATTAACAGTTTCACCAAGATGCCGTTTTGGATCTTGCTTACCAACGTTTTTTATGGCAAGCTGTTCTTCTGTCATTTTTTCTTGTTCTTCCAAATCCTACAAAAATTTAATATGCAAATGAAGTTAATAAAAATAAGACATTCAGAGCAAGGACCGAAATATTACCAACTTATCTCATTAACTACTATTATTACGCCAAATAGTTTACGATAGAAGCCATAATTCGATCGACAGGTATTTACTATCACTCCATCTTCTGCAGTTTTATAGCAAAATTAAGAGCAAAAAAAATTATTAACCTTTTTATATAGTTTAGCCAATTTAAGCATATTGTTCATGGAAGTCTGATTTTTCTCACAATGACTTGAGAAATTCTTTAAACCTAAGGAATCCATCCATGATTGTTTATTTAGATTTAGCAACATCTAAAATAAAATATAACAAGATAAAAAACGAACGGAATAAGATAAAAATAAAGAACGACTTCAGTAGATAGACCTTTTGCTCCAAATCATGTGTGCGATAATTAATAGGAATTGAATAATAATGCCGATTAAGACCATGAATCAGAGCTTGAATAGATGGTTTTTGAAGATGCCCAAGATTCGACGTTGTCTGACGAGGTTCTTGATTTAGAGCTATTGCTTGAGGATTAATCGTTCGAAATGCATCGATAACAACCTTGAAAAATATATTCAAAATTTAACCAAATGAATGCTGGTAATGAGTGATATTATTTTGAACTGACGTAATATTAAAATAAAACATATAACATGCACTTAATGAAATAATAAATTACCTTGCCCTTCACTGACTGAATGGGGTCGACTACTACAGCCACAGCTCTATCTGAGAGTGCTTCAAAACTTTGTTGTGTGTTAATATCAACTCCGGATAACCAGCATCCAAAACCTGGATGCGAGTGATACCATCCGACAACCATCTCCGGTCGACCAGTTTGTTTCAACATATCAAGCATTTTTGCTTGGAATACTGGATCAACTGCTTCAACCGAAACACCCTTAAATAATGGATAATAAGCATATAATTAGATATAATTAGTAATTAGCAATTTAGGAACATGGAGGAAAACCTTTAAACTGTAGACAGACCAAAAAATACAAATAAATGGGGTTAGAAAATACGACCAGATCAAATCAAGCTATTTTGGCTACGCCGAAAAAATGAAAAATGTTAGGAAAAATGTTAGAAAAAAAATGATTTAAACAAAAAATGGAAAAGAGAGACGGGGCACACGTACAACAGGATGTACAGACGAAACCACACCGCATCATTGCAAAACCTAAGAACTCTCACACCGAACAGGATAAAATAGAAGATAATAGTCCATAATTGTATTGGAAATGAATCGACTGATGGAGATGACGATCAAATAAAATAAAAAACTCAGCTATTACAGGATTAATGAAATTGTAAAAAATAAATGTAATAATACCGTTCCTGATTGAGGCATTGCAAACACATCGATAACATTAACGGTATATTCATCAACAAATTCACCAAGCATCAAGCCCATAACCTGAAATACAGGAAGGATTTTTCGCTTCAAACAAATTTTCTAGGTCGAATTTCCACAGAGACAATTTTGAAGGAAAAAAGAAAACATAAAATTCAAAAATTATTAAATCAAAAGTTTCAAAGATATATTCGCAACATATAAGCAACATAAAGGTATCGAAAATACATACCTCCATAGGAACACCGGCTCGCCCATGTTTAAGCATTTTCAACAAAGCTAAAGATGAAATATAAACAGTTTCTGAGGTATCAACTTGGTTTGAATCGTTTGCCGTTCCGCTTCCGAACTGAAATTAAAATTGCGGAATATAAAATAATGGAAAATTTCTAATAAAACAATTTTAATAAATGATAAAGAACTAATCAAAAAACAATACAGAGTTTTTCTAAAATTTTTGATTATAAAAAACGTCAATTCTAAAATTTTTGAAGAATTTGTTCGAGAATAAACCTGTGAAGCACCAAGTCCACCGAATCCTCCCAATCGCAAGAAACGCTCAACCATTATCTGAAAAAAATATGAAAATGAAAAATAACTTCCAACAATATTTTCGACCGCAGAAAACGAGATAATTCCATATGTCTCAAAGTTTTTAATGGAAATCTCAGTCTCGTAAAAAACGGGAAAAAATCTTTTGTAACTATCTTTCGTCTTTTCCACAGCGCGACATTAGAAAAACCAGCCGACTGACAATAAAACGATATAATTCTCTTCTAATTTTGTTTCTACTTTCGATCATCCGATGTAGCGCTTTATTTAGTGTTCTCATCGCTACATTGTTTTTTTCACCAAAAAATAAACTTATCGCAATATTCATTAATTTATAACAAATATACGAGTCGGATAACCTAAAAAGCTCCGAATCTACAGAGTTGTAGAATTATAGAAAACCGCTATGAACCAAAAGGTGTTAAAATTGAGTGGGCCAGATGACAGGAACGAGTCAAAATAAAATAAAATAAAATTTAGAATTGGGGTGCGGGTGTATCTCGAAAAATGAACACAACTCTCATGAAAATTTGATTTTAGCGGTTTTTGGCGGTTTTAAATAACTACACGACAATTAAGCACAAAAAAATTATCGAAAAAACCTAAGATTACCGAAAATTTTAAAATTATACAAAAAATTATATAAAATATTACGAACGCTTCCGAACAGAATAGAACTGAAAAATTTAATCAAACGAAAATTTCATTAAAACTATAGAAAATAGAAAATAGAAATTAACCATTAATAGTTTCCAATTGTTCTGTAAAAAAACAATAACAAGTCAACCCACCCAGATCCGCGAAAAAGCACGAATGGCAAACACTAGACTCCAATTTCCTCAAAACTTATTTGCATCCAGGAGGATCACAAGAATAAGTGGCCAGCGCATATTTGGTTGGGCTTATTCCACTAGCCATCAGTACAGTCAAAAATTTTTGCCACCGATGGCTGGCAAATGGCCGACATCACCAACCCTCTTTGATTGCAGGCACAAATATGGTACAAACCGCCTGTAACCTAGACCAGCATCTGTTCGCTTATCCTGCCCCTCTGTGATAAAAAGGAAAAGCCTCATTCTCACGTTGAAAAAAGGACACGAAAATTATATTTTCCTTTTAAGACCAAGCACATTTTAAACTAGTGGCTCGAATGCTAAAATGCTCGTGAAAAATTCTCGTTTTGTGCGCTTCATAGTCGAAGTTCAGTCGGAATTTTATTTTTGCCCCCACAAAAGTGCTCAGAATGCATGTGCATCTATCCATGTTGATTTGTATGTGCACGCTTGGCTTGGCTTCTAAGCAATAGGGCCCTAGCAGCTCTATTGGTTTTGCTCTCCTTCTTTTACTGTCGTTATTTAAATTCTTCTCTTCGTGTTTTATTTATTAAATCTAGAATTAAGTCAATATCGGATAGGCTTCGCGCCATTGCTTTAATTGCTTGAACGCGATTTCGCTGTGTCACACCTTCTGCATGATTTACAGGTTAAGGGTCACGTATAGTACACCCAAACTGTTCAGCGAAAGACGGCGTTGTGTTCAGTTTTCGCTTAAAAACTTCCCGGTTAGTTTTTTTATAATCATTATTTTCGCTTTGAATTAGGCCAGTAGACGGGGACTTTCACTTGAAAGTATCATTTCAGGTTCCAGTGAATTTCATAGAACAGAAAATTTTATCGGAAAAAAATTCGAAATTTGAAGTTTCTTAATGTTAATTAACTTGATTAATTACAATATGAAGATTTTCAAAAAACGGCTGGCAATTTTATCCAGGAATATGTCGAACGATGTACTGACTTGTGACACTTGTGACTTGTCTGTGACACTTGTGACTTGTCAGACACTTTGACAGAAGTAAACCTGTTATTAAAAATGGAACTTGAGTTTGCCCACTTTTATTTCTCCAAGTATTTCTCTCTGGTGACTTTCACCTTAGTAATCGCTGGTGCAATATTTTTCTAAAATTTTAACTTTGGTATTTGTGAAATTACAACTTAAAAATTATTGAGGACCTCCAGAGTTCTCTTATGTGGATTATTTGTATTATATCCACTGCTGTATTAGATACCATAATTGATAGATTTTTATAATATTTGTCGACTTATTCAAAAAATAATAAAATATAAAAGTAATATTGATGAAAATATTGTAAATAAATATAAATGACGGATTTCTTGTGAAGTATAGGTGATGATCAGCGAGACGAGCAGCCACTTTGACCACATTTGCATATTAATAATTCGCTCAATAATAAAAGGAAAGAGATGGAATCTTAACAGAAAATAGTTATGATCACAAATCCCTGTCCGAATCTTCGAGGGTCAGCGAACCACACAATAGATAAAAGCTAAATGATGAGTGCTATTAGGAGGTCTTTAAATTCATTTACACGTTTGGAAAGCCATTTAAGCTATTGAAAAGGAGTTGAAAGAAATCCTGAGGCAATATCCGTGAAAAAGGTGTGAAGGAAAGTGGAACGGCAAGGAAGTGTCCTGTGTCTTTGATGTATGCAAATATATATACCGTTTCACAGGTGATCCATTAAATTAGAGTTAAATTTCCGAATTACACGATTTTTAAAATTCATACTTTTCTTGCATAATAGGAGATCTTTCAAGGAATTCTTAAACTTCTCTATTTTATATCTATTTTATGCATTGTACGTTAAAAAAATTCAAATATATTGACTGGCAAAGTAAAAATAGCTTAACAAGGATAAAGTAATAAATGTTTCAGGTCTTTATCAAAAATCTAATCAATTATCAGTTATAGTCGATCAACAATCAATTAGCTTTGCAGTCGCACCAGGAAATAATTTTTTCAATCAATATTTATGTGAAATAATATCGAGTCCTTAAATCAGTTCAAGTCAAGTGGGTCTTTTTTACGCGATGCTTCATCATGCACTTCAATATATATTTTAATTAAACGGATCTGGGACAATATTCGCTTGGATTTTTCTAAATTTCTTTCTTTTATTTCATCTTTAAAATTGTTATAATTTGATTAATTTTGTCTAAAATTTTCTAAAGCTTGTCTATTTTTAGGTTTAAAATTTTCAATTAGCAGATTTCCATAAAATTTCGAGAATTTTATTGCTGCAAGATTAAAATTCTATATTTATCTATTTATCGATCATGTGAGCAAACTCATCGTTGTCACCTGTTGCAACTTAAATTTTCTCTTTCTAAAACTTTTTAAATTTCATATTCTTTTAACATTTAACTGCATTTTATTTACTGCGTTTATAAAAAATTCCATCCATATATGTATATTTTATTTATCCTAAGTGGAAACCTATTGACTGATAGCAAGAGATAAGCAAAAATGCATTTTGCCATGGAGCTGAAGTAATTAGCGATCTAAATTGCGGCGACTTATCAAATGATCGTTTTTTTAGCGATCGTTCAAAAAGTTAATCTTAGAAACTAAAATCGATTAATCAAAAATACCAGTTTTTGTTGATATTTGATGAAATTATGTTGAAGGAAAAGAGTGTTTTCAAGAAAAAAAGTGTATAAATAAGGAATCATTTCAAATCATTTGGAAAATATCCTTGGTATGTTACTACGGTCAAAATTTCAGCGGATTCTATTGTTGCATAATTATTACAATTTTTTTTATACTTATGTTCCAATCAATTATCTTTTATTATTATTTCTCATTTTAAGTTTCATTTTTTTCTCTTATTTTGCTGCATCTTATTTATGATTTCTGGTTTTGCTGGAAATACTGCGGTAAAATTTTATGGCCATAGATTCACCTGAGGATATTGAAAGGTCGCCGCCACCATCCTGATTTTAATTCTTTTGGTAAGGTTTAGAGGCAGAAAATGAACCCATAACATTTGAATTACACTTTTATTTAAGTTTTTTGAATTTATTAGCATGAAAATTGTTCCTAACATTTACTGTTTAGTTATTTGTTTAAATATTACTAAAAAATTTTATGAAAAGATGTAAACAACAATAATTTAACTTTTCGTTTGATTTTTCTCTGTTCAGCAGTTTAATTTATTAGAATGGAAATTCATTGTTTTGTTAGAATTTTACGATTTTTGATGAAAGATTTTCTTTTATAAAAGTCACCAATCAAAATTTTATGATATTTAATGGATGAAAACATTTGAAATAATTCTGAATTTTTTGTCATTTATACTTATTGGTGCTATGCTTAAACTGAATGGCTGGAGATAGAATGGTTAAGTGGGTTGTTGTGCTGAAGTTCCAATTATGACTATCTATGGCTATGGAATACCTGTGGAAGATCCGAGTGGCACTGGCTACCCGCCTGCAAGTTACTTCCTGGTATGTCCGATTCGACAAGTCCAACAAGCCAGCAGAGCCAGGAAGGTGGCCGATCTTAGCAGAAAAATGTAGCGTTATACTCTCATAAACGATGTGTGACATAAAGCGATATAAATTCCGACTCAGCCGATGCTCTAGTCTATTCATTGGAGATAATTAAGTATTTATTATATTTATGCAAGTGTGCTTTAGCGAGTATTCGTGAAGGTTGCGACTGCAATTTTTCGTGATTAGAAGTTGTTTTTTTACAGTTTACAGTTATTAGTCGAGTCATTATGATGAGAAATATCAAGAAATTCAAGATAAATGATTGCATTATTATTGCTGCGATTCATTTATTATTTTAAATGTATCTTTAAATCATTGGAAAATTGGACAATTGCATTTTTTATGGATTGTCGAATTAATAAGTTAGGTTCAGATTTCAGGTTAATACCATTCTAAACAATGCATTGGAAAGCAACAACAACATTAATTTGCCTATATGGTATAGTAAAGGAATTTCGTCCAGCGACACCTTTCTTAACGCCTTATCTCGTTTCATCGTTTAAAAATTTCACAAATGCAGAATTATACAGCCAGATTTATCCCTATTGGACGTATTCTTATTTGGTCGCACTTGTAAGTAATTTTAATTTTTCGCTGTTATAAATTTCAAATATTTCAGAGTATTATTATTTTCTTTCATTTTACTTACTTTTCTTCGACCTTCAGATACCAGTGTTCTTTTTAACGGATATTTTACGCTATAAACCAATCATTATGCTGGAAGCAGTTTCTTTATGCGCCACATGGGCATTGTTGGTTTGGGGAAAAACTGTTTGGCAAATGCAAATTATGCAAATCGCATTTGGTTTTTCATTTGTTTAATATTGTCAATAATTGTTTAAAGAAATAGAAGTGGTTTTTTTTGATATTTCTGAGAAAGTATTTTTCCAATTTTTTTAAAAGAAAAAAATTCAGTCGAATGAAAAGCAGTTTTTTGCAGGCATATCTTCTGCATCAGAGGTTGCTTATTATTCGTATATGTATGCAGTAGTAACTCAGAAACATTATGCAAGAGTGACGTCTTATTTGCGAGCTGCTGCATTAGCGGGTAAATTTATGGCTTTTGCCTTGGCACAATTTTTAATTTCCACTGGCTACGGATCATATTTGCTTTTGAATCAGGTATTTTATGCTGTTAGCGATGTTTTTTTTATCAATTTACGAGAGAAAAAGGAAATAAAAGGTCAGATCTGTGGGTGTGTTGCTAAACAAGAGAATCTTTTAAAGAAATCAACTGCAATTGAAAATCTAGATCTCGTTCTGTGCGCTCTGCCTCGTTTTATTTATTGCGCTAATACTTCCATCCATTCCATCAAGAATAATAGTCAATAAGATTGGGGAAGGAACGAACAACGTACGCAGAAATTCTAGAGAAACTGTCGAATGGAATGAGACGCAGGAAGAAACGTATCGTTTTGAAACGTTATTGTCGTTTTAAATTTTTAGTTGTTTTCATATTTAGATTATTGCGCAAATCATTAATAATTCGTTATACTAAATTTAAATGATAAAAACTAGGGTACTCGAATAACGAATAATAAGCTATTCAGTTTTTACTTTTATTTATTCATGGCAATGAGTAATATAAGTTAATTAACTGATCTTTAGTGAAATTTAAAGATTTATTGGGCTTATATAAACATGGTTAGCTTCTATGAAATCGTATGATTGAAAGGCTGGTTTTTCCTTAATTATTTGATTTAAAGAAGGAAACTTATTCTACAAAATTTCTATTCTACAAAAAAAATTCTCGTAGAGTTGCATTGAAAAACCCGCCTAATATTGATGAAGGAATTGCTGCGTACTTTCGCGCTATCTGGAATCATATGAAAATTTTCAAACGAAATAAAATAGTTCTTAAATGGTCGATCTGGTTTGCACTTGCGACTGCTGGAACATACCAAGTAATAATAAAATCTTTTGAGGAAATCTGATCATTTTTATTTGGCTTTTTTTTGATGGCTAAATTTGGATGAAAAAAATGAATTCCAGAAATTAATAGAACATCAAAGTTGGAAAATTAAAGATACTTATTAGCCGCTTACTGAACGCAGTATGAATTCGGTTGCTATAACTTGTCGGGACAAGTTATATTCAAAGGTGCTCTAATTTTATGCCCATTCTGTACTGTACCATTATCCTTAGATAACTCTCCGACATCTAATGATAGTGGCTGAGACAACAGAAGGGCGAGTGTTATATGAAAAAAGGCCTATTTCTAAATATATATAGTACTTATTATAGCATTTTGCAATACTTGGTACTTTATTAAATTATATGGTTTTTATTGTTGAATTTTAAGTACATTTATAATGATTTTTTGGTAACGTCAATGATAATTGATATATGATGATAGTGGAATCGCAGGTTTGTAGAATTTTCGAAATCTTTATATAAAAAAGTTTAGGTATACAATTATATCCAAACACTGTGGTCAATCATGCAAAATGTTGATGAAAAAGCGGCAAATGGAATAACAGAATGTGCAAACACTCTTATTGGTTTGTGAATTTCATCTGTTTTTGATCATTAGTTTCCCAATAAATGATCCTTATTTGTTAGTAGTGGTTATGTGCTTATAACTGATTATCTTTAAAGTTGATTTGCTTCAAAATAGTTTATCAACCACCTATTTTATTATGATGTCTTCATGGGCTCAATTATATTCGTTTAATCTCTTCGAATTTTGCTTTCTCACTCACCAAAACCAAATTTATTTTTTCTTTACCATTCATTGCCCATTATATATCGTCGATGGTTCTCATTTCACCGCCATTTCAGCTATCTTGGTTTTTTCATAGCTACTATATTGACATACTATCTATTAGATAAAAAATAAAGATTTATGAATAAAGATATAGTAGGAAATAACAGGATAGAAATAGCAGAGAGAAAGATTAAAAAGGTTTAAAATTATAGCATAAAAACTATAATAATTTAAAATAATTTTTCGAATCCAGGCTTATCTATCCAGGTTTACAATCGAAACTTAAAAACGAATAAATTTTGAAACAAATAAATTTATTTGGTATTCTCTTGCAAAATAAAGAATATCTTTCAGATGAAATGTTTAAATCTAATCCGTTACAAGATTTTTTTTGACCAGAAATTTCCTAGAATTTTATTCTATATTTCAGGTGCACTATTGTCTTTTATTGTACAATATCTTCACGTAAATTGGGTGAAACGTGGTGAATCAGTTTTATTTATATCGTCACTGGTAGCAGGTTTATTGCTGTTGTTGGCTTCTCAAATAACAAGCATCATTTTGGCTTATATCATTTATGTCGTCATAGCTTCTATTTATCACCTGCTTATCACTGCTGCAAGGTTGTTGCCACTATTTATTTGGTGTTTATGTTTATAGAAATATTCAGAAAAGGAAAGCATTTTGTATTATTGATTTAATTTAAATGATTTAAATGGGCTTGGCAATATCAATTAATATATTTTTTTCGATATTGATTCTTAATGTCTTAATATCAGTTTGGTTAATTTCTTTTCTCAATTCCAGCGCAAATATAGCTTCGGAGTTAGATTCTGCCACTTATGGACTTATATTTGCGTGGAATACATTCATTGCTTTAACTATACAAACAGCTATAACCTTTGCAGTTGCGGATGAACATGGTTTTGCTTTAGGTATACGAGATCAGGTAAAATGGATTTTTTTGTTTAGTGAAAATGAAACTGGTAAACTAGGAATTTTTAGCCAGATAATCTGGTTTGGCCTGCTGGAAATTTATCTTTTTCAATTAAAGATTTAAACTGAAGATCTAAGGTTTTTTAGAATTTACTTACAGTTTATTGTCTATGGAGGCTACTTTGTGGGTGTGGCCTTATTGTTTATGGTGCTTATAATATGGAAATCTATAAAACGGAGCAGATAATCGAAGATTGTATTTCGAAATACTAACAAGAATTTGTCACCACAAAATAATAGGTTTCACGAACATCATTAATTCTCTTTTATAAGCACAGGTTTTGCAACTAGTTTACCAAAAATTGTTATTTTGCAAGTAGTCAATATGTCATAGATTATTTTTTCGAGGTTGCAATAAAATATTTTTTAAAGACGGAAACCTGGATTTATTTTCTCAAAAATAAATTTTAATCCGACAATATCTTTAAAATCTGAAGCATATAGAAAAAAAATGAAATAAATTATTTGCTCTGATAGTAAATAGAAATGGTCCATGCATAGTTTTATATACGATACGAGGTATTATCGTGCTTTTTTTATAAGGTGATAACAGTTCAAAATTTTTTTTGAACAATTTTATAAAAGAAAACTTCATTTTCATATTTAATATATTTAATAGTATTAGCATTCCAATTTGACTATTATTCAAAATAACTGCATGGTTTATAAAATTTAAGCGACAGTTGCTTCGACCTCAACTGACCAAGCATCAATTCCTGTTTTTTTAACGGGAATAAACTTGAAGACTCATCTTTGTTCTTATCCTCAAATGGGCCTCTAGAAAGGTTGAATTTTAGCAGGTATACCGGTAATAATTTTTGGTGCGTAACGACCAGGTGAAAATATTTTCCTAAAAAATCAAAAAGCTTTTCTAATTAGTTTTTTTGCATGAAATTTATTAGCATTTGTAATTTTCCCAAACTCGACAAAAATATTTGAATCAATCAAATATTTTCGAATTCTAATTAATCCTGGATTAGCCACTTTTTAAACAATATTTTTTAGTTTCCAATAACATATTTCTTTTATTCTTATTTTTGCTAAACTTTTTTTAGCGCTAAGGATAATTCCTTTTTTCTACAAAATATTTTCCATGACAACATTTGCGAAAATCGCGTATAGCAGCAATTAACTAACTTTGAGAATCATTTGCACTAAAAAAATGAGTCTAATCATGAATTAATTCATTCATGAATAAAAAACATTTTAAAATTTTGTTATTTCATATTTTCGATAATCGCTAAATACAAGGGAAGGGAAGAAATTTTAGAAATTTTTTGACAGTTATGAAAACTAAATTACGCATCGGTACTTTTCTTTCAATCGAGCTCCATATTAATGTAAGTGCGAGAAAAAAATATATCAGCTTATTATAATATAACTTATATAACTTATCTTGTGTGGTCTACATGGTCTTGACGTGAAATTATCGTAAAAACAAGATTTTGCACTTTGTTATACAAAATGTGACTTAAGAGAGTGGAAAATGTCATGAAGCCATTCGATTTTCATCATTCCTTCTTAAGTGATACTCCGATTCTCTTCGCTGTAACAGTGTACATTTCAAGTAAATATCGAGCTGAAATGAATGATTGCATTGTGTTAACCACTGTTTTTCTTCTTTTAAACTTTCTAAATTTTATTTTCTTCCATTATGCTATTAATAAATAATAAAATAATATAATACTGCTTCGACAGAGGTGAACCTGTCATATCAAAAATCCGGGTGATTGCTGGGGACCCATTTATGACTCTATCCCCAAGTGACTCTATGGTGAAGGAATTAGATGTTCTTGATACGCCGTCCGCGTTCTCCGACACGCGTGATACTCTCAGCTCGGTGGCACATGCAATAAGTAAACAATCCAGGCGTAAAATGATCGCAAAGTTCATAAATAAAATATACTCGCAAGCCAGGACAACTACTCGAAACCTATCAACTCCCTTCTCTACGCCCGGCGAGTAATCAGCCGTGCGTGGAACGTCGGAACGGTTATGGAAGTTGCAAGCCAGGCGATCATTATCCCTTTTTAAATATTGTGTGGATATTGCCAGTCAGAACTCCTCATACCGGGTATCGAGTAATAACTAAACCTGGTTCTGAGCTGGCTATATTGCGGGGTTTCGGATAATTTCGGATAACTCAGGACAAAATGGCGTGGCGATGTTCATGTCTAAAAAGGCCCATTCCACTTTGATAGAGTGGAAAACGGTAAGCCTATGGTTTACGTCTGTTTTAAAGGCAAGTTCTTCATCTCGGTCATTAGTGTCCAATTTTGCAGGCTGGTAACCATGCTAAAGTAAATTTTATGTGGAACTTCAAATGCTAACAAAGTCTCAACCGAAATGACATGATCATAATTGAGGGAAAGTGGAATGCATGCGTGGGCCATAATGCCGCTGCGATGACCTCAACAATTGGTAAACCTCAACGCATTAATTTTTAATTGATTTATATGGCATAATTTCTTACATTAATGAACAAGCTGAGAAAACACACAATACGGGATGCGAATTAAGTTTACTGGGTATGAACCTTCTTAAGAACCTCTAAGCCTAAGTTGCTAAGCTTAATATTGAATTTGATTAAAAACGTAACGTCTTTTACTTAACGTCTTTTATCTGCAAACCATCTATCAACCATACCTACCAATCATCCATTCACTCGCTTATTATTAATTATTATTTTTAATTTTAAATCTTACGTTTTATTTATTTATTCATCAATTTTTTATTTGAATATTTATTTGTATTTTTATTAAATGATGTGAATAAGTTGTTTTCTCTAAATAATCGTTAGCCATTGAGTTGGAAGAGTTCCGTGCTAGGTAGTCGTTCCTATTGCATTGAAACATGCAAATCTTCATGGATTTGACCATGTTATGGTCCAAGCAAAAATCTGCATAAAATTGACAACTCGCAAGAAATAGCATCCCCAAGATCTTTCAACTGTCTTAAACTAAAAAATTCGTGGACAGCGAGCGTATTTCAAATCGAATTATGAAGCATTTTAATGAAATAATGGAACGGCAGATGAATACTAATCTCAATTAAAGGTGTATCTCCGAAAGTTAGCCACTTCCACACTAAGGTACTAGCAGGAAATGCGGTATTTGGAAGCAACTGTCCAACCGTCTGAAAAAGCTGCCAAAATCCGAATATCAGGAGATTCTGACTATCGGATACTTCGAGGAATTACAACGACACCAGCACAGCAGGACAAAAATCGCTATTGGAACGATATGGTCTTAAGAATGGAGACGGCCGCTCGATTAGGTGATAATAGGAAACTATTTCGCCTTCATAAAACAGCTATAACTCGAGGAACGATCTGTGAAATTATGAGAAATAGTAATAATGGTGTGCCTGTTAAGAGTATTAAAGATCGCCTCATAAGATGGAAAAAATTCTTTGAGCTCAAATAATCCAACCATGATGCTCCATCTGTTCACCTGAACATAGCTGATACGTTCTCGAACCATACGTCTGCAATTGCGAACCAAAAGAAGAAGAAATAATCTCCATTATCCATAAGTTTAAGGCTAATAAGAAAATTATCAAGGAATCAGCCTATTAGACACTCACCGAAAATTTTTGCTTCCTCACTCAAGAGACTTAGTTTTGTGTCTAGATGTAGTCTTTTTTGCTGATGGCAAAATGGAAATATTAATAATATTATCACAGAGCATCGCCTTCGCTGGTTAGGATACGTTCTCCGTCGTCCACCACAGAAGTTGACGCATATTTCGTTATTTGCTAAACCCTGTGATGGTTGGTGTCAAAAGCAAGGAGGACCAGTCAAGACCTGGACTGACAAAGTCAGGAAAAATGTAGGAGGACCAGCGATATATGGATTTAGACGATGGAAAAAGGAATGGCTTTTATTACTACTAGTGATGGCGTTGGACCGGAGCAGCAATGATGAGAGCTGTTAGAAGAAGAAGGAGATTTTATTAGAAGTAGAAGTAGAACCAGAAAAAATAGAGAAATATTATAAAATTGCAAAGAAAAATTTTACACTTTGTTAAGAATTAATCAAAGAAAAAAAAATCTTGAATTTTTAAGGCAAGGCATGTTTTCTGTCAAATGTAAGACTATTCTTTAAATTTCTGCATTGCCCATAAACCTCAAGATGGCCACTTCCCAATACATTTACGTAACTGGATGCAGCCTACAAATTCGTCTGAACTTAATTCAGCAACAAACTTCGCTACACTATCGAAAACCATACCAGTTCCACATTTTTGGCCAGCTGAACGACAGCGGAGATCAGATATTTCCTCTCTAAGGCTCCATTTTTTTACTTTCATTGTTCTTGAACGTTTAAAACATAAAATAAAATAAAATTTTTAAAATTTTTAAATCTTATATTTTCATAATTTTTTAAATTTAATTACATAATTTTATATACATAATTTTTAAATTTTTTCTGAATTAAATCATTGAAAAACTGTGTTTTATACAAATTACAAGAAATTAATACAAATTAAAAATTTAAAAAAAAGTTAAACCTCTTTATACGGTCGATTCTAATTTATGTAGCCCCTATTTTCCATTTTTTAAATTTCCTTTTAATATTGCTTTCTATTCTATTTTAATATACTATTTTTCTAAGCATATTGCATTATTTCAATCGTTCAGTTTCTAACTGTCTACGTGGATTTTTTTAAATGAATGAATTGGCCAAAGAAAAACAAATGACGCTGAACTGATGAAGGACAAATTTAGAAGCATTTTCTTTTGCAAGCAAATAAGTGATTAATATATCGCTTCAGGTTGGGCTATCTGCTAATACTGTTCGAAGTTTTTATCAGACTTACTTGGCGGTAGAAGTTATTGATGGGCCACTAGCAGCTGCCAGATTTTTTAGATCTCCGAGTCTCACAACCCTTACATTATAATTTAAGCCACATTTATCCTATTTTCTTTCGCAATTTTTACTGAATCATTTTTAATGGTCATGAACCATTTAAATTTTTGATATTAGATTAAATGAAAAAAATTACAAGTCAGGATTAAAATTCTTGCAAAACTAAGAAAAATTGTTAACTTGGCTCATACTAGTGCAGTCACCGAGAATGCAAAAATGCAAAAGCCTGAATATCTTTAAAATATAATTGTCCTGCTTAAATTCATGACAGAAAATCTTAATATTTGTTCTTTTTATTTAAATCCCTAATGTTATCT